AGAAAGGACCCCACGACAGTTAAAATCGCTGCGGACAGCAGCCGGCAATAAGAGATGGAACGTCAGAGAAAGCGTACGCATTTTCTTTGCATAGAATTTGAAGCTAAACCAAAGTCTACCTGATATCTGACAATTTTGAACTATATAGGAGAGCTCCGCGACCTGAATGAACGAGCCTGGGCTGGAGAGAGTGGTAATTACCTCCCCGTTCAATGATAAACTCCGCTGGATGCTTTCGTCTCACAGTCACCTAACTACGTATCGGACGATTTTACAGATCTCTTTCCAGTTAGCAGTTCGCTTGATTCGTCGCTGAAGAAGAATACGGCCTTTATCAAGCGTCTCCGAACAGGAATCAATGCTTCAGTCCTGCAAACCTTCTTGACCGATATCCGCACTTTGTCGCTCCACAAGTACCTTTCCGAGATTATCTCCGCATGCTACGAGGGTCTCTGCAAACTTAAGTCGCCCGGGGAGATTGCCGCGGGCGTGGAAGTCACAAGCGCATTGCATCAGCGATTCGGACCGGACGAGTTCACGAGGCAGATCGGTTGGCTGCTGGGTCGCGGCCTCAGCACACCTGACAAGTCGCAGCTCAGAACCCTCAGCCAGGAGTTGCGCGAGCGTGAAGAGAAAGAGAGACTTTCCAGACATCGGGTGCTGCTTAGAGTGGTCACGGAGCTATGGCTTGTCGGAGTTCTGAGAACCCTCGATGATATCGAGAGACCAGATGACCTGGGCGCCAAGGGCAAGGATGGTGCGGTCAGTATCGGTGGAAAGGCGACAGACGCCGTGTCTAAGCCTAAGACGACGCCGTCTGCAGCCAAAGATCAAGACAAAGAAGCCGAGCCGTTCCCTCTGGAGGTCTTGAAAGATCTTCTTGGTCACGATCGCGAGCATGCCAATCTGCCACTTGCCGTGTTATTTGCCAAAAGCTTTAGTTGGGATATTCTAGGAGTGAATATGGTTGACGAAAACCGGAAGACGGTTGATGTGGATGGGACCACGACCTCTGTTGCTCCCGCAGATACAGTGAATGGCGGAGACGATGCGACGGCCGCCGAGAATGACCCGCCGCTTGTGTCGGAGAAAACGCAGCTTCGCTTCAGGAGTATTTTGAGCCGGTATTTGGAAGATGTGAAGGCGCACGTCGTTCGCGACCAGAGAGCATTGGCAGCACAGAGCCGTCGAAATGCGGAAGCCTACGTCAAGAGTGGTGAGATATTTGAGGATCGTCAAGCGAATTTCGACAAGCAGAGCAAGTCATTGGAGAAACTGGTTGCGAACACTCAGGTATTGTGCGAGGTTCTAGGGGTGGAAATGCCCGCCTTGGCTGAACAGGAAGCGGCTGATTCTGCTTCGAGTGGTGGAATCGGGCTTGTGAAGACTTCGGAATACCTGCGTGGCCAGGGCGAAGGTCCCGGTATTTGGGAGGATGAAGAGGAACGGCGCTTCTACGAAAACTTGGTTGATCTCAAAGGCAAGGTACCGTCGGTTCTGCTTGAGGATGGCAAGAAGAAAAAGCCCGACTCCGACGATGCTGCAAAGAAAAAGACAGACGGCGAAGCTACCCCCGATTGGAGTTCAGAGAAGCCTGAGAACGCAAGCCAAATCCCAACGTCGGAAGAGAAGTCTGCTGCGGAGGCGGAAGATCAGTCTACCGCTATCGCCAGCAAGACCGTTGGAGCTCAGGTAGATGCTCTCTTGGCTAGACTCCCCGAACTTCAAACAAAAGACCAAGTTGATCAGCTGGCACTCGAGTTCTGCTTTCTCAACTCCAAGGCGTCGAGAAACAGGCTCATCAAGGCTGTGTCAGACGTCCCAAAGGGTCGAGTCGATCTTTTGCCATTGTATTCCCGACTGGTTGCAACCCTCGGACAGTATCTTCAGGATATTCCTCAAGGTTTAATAACTTACCTCGACGAAGAGTTTCGCAGTCTTCAACGTCGGAAGTCCAAAGAATTCCTCGGCCAGGTTCGGATGACCAATATCCGCTATTTCGCAGAGTTGACCAAATTCGGTGTGGTTCCGGAGCATATCATCTTTCACTGTTTCAAGGTTTCCCTCGATGACTTTTCACGCATGAACATTGAGATTATTGGTCATCTGCTCGAAAACTGCGGACGCTACCTGCTTCGGAATCCAGAAACATCCCCGCGGATGGCTTCGTTCTTGGAGAAGCTCGGCAGGAAGAAGACAGTCCAACATCTGGGTCAGCAAGAAAGAATGATTATCGAGAACGCAATGTACTATGTCGACCCGCCGCCGCGACCTGCTATTCAACAAAAGGAGCGCACGCCTATGGAATCCTACATCCGCAAGCTGATTTACCTGGACATGAACAAGCGTAATTACACCAAAATTTTGAAATCAATTCGAAAACTCCACTGGGAAGAACAAGATGTAAGCACACTCTACACCCTTTCGTGCTACAGATGGCTAATCTCGTTCTCCAGGTGGTCGATATCTTGGAGCGTGTCTTCAGTAAGCCGGTTAAGGTCAAATACGGCAATATCCACCTTCTCGCTATCCTTGTCAGTGCACTTTACAGGTATCACCAGGACTTCGTGATCAGTGTTGTAGACAACATCCTCGAGCAGATCACGCTGGGACTCGAACAGAACGATTTCAAGTTCAACCAGAAGCGTGTAGCTGAAGTCAAATACCTCGGGGAATTGTACAACTACAAAATGATCGACTCACCCGTGGTCTTTGATACGTTGTACCGGATTGTCACTTTCGGCTACGGTAAGCATCTTTGGATTCGTTAACGTTTTCTATTACTTATATATTATGTAGAAGGTGGCACTCCGATTCCTGGAAAGCTCAACCCACTAGATCTACCAGACGATTTCTTCCGCATTCGCCTAGTCTGCACTCTGCTGGACACTTGTGGTCACTGTTTTGATCGTGGGTCTGCTAAAAAGAAGTTGGATTTCTTCTTGATCTTCTTCCAGGTACCTCTTTTGCCCGCTCAGTCTTCGAGAGGAGTTTAGTGGTCTAATATTTTCACAGTACTATTATCTTACAAAGGACCCTTTGCCTATGGACGTTGAATTTTTGATCCAGGACACCTTCGCTATGGCTCGTCCTCAATGGAAGTTGATGACTGATTTGCAGGAGGCCACGCAGCTGTTCAGTGAAGCAGTCGCTCAGAACTACAAGACTCCGGATTCCGAGAGGCCTATGGAGGCGGATGAAGATGATGCAGAAAGCAGCTCGTCTGATGACGGTCTCGAGGATGACGCAATTCCCGAGGCTGAAGAAGAACAAGAGTCGAGCGATGAAGCTGAAGTGAGTTTCACATCCATCAGGGCGAGGTCGCCTTCAGACTCGTTACCGATTGCTAATAAATGCAGGTCTCTGGCCCCAATGCCGAGCAAGATACTGACAGTGAATCCGAGGACGAGCAGATCTTTGTTACTCGTCAGGAGGAGGAGCGTGATCCTGAGGTCGAGGCTGAGTTTGACCGCGAGTTCGAGAAAATGATGGCAGAGAGTATGGAGTCCAGACGATTCGAACGCAAGGCTGTGTTTGATATTCCTCTTCCCATGAGGCGCGCTGGCCGTGAGGCTTCGGCGGGTGATGCAGTGACTGAAGCGCCTCCCGAGCGAACCAATACAATGGCCTTCTCTTTGATGACAAAGAAGGGAAATAAGCAGCAGGTTTGTTGCACTTCCTAGCCATATGCATTGCATGTTACTAACAAGCCATAGACTCGTACAATTGATCTCCCATCTGACTCTAGCTTTGCAATCGCCATGAAGAGTCAGCAGCAAGCGGATCGTGAAGAACAGCAACGCATTAAGAACTTGGTGCTCAATTACGAAATGACTAACGAGGCTGAAAACAATACTGAAGGTGAGCATCGCTCTATTCGAGCCAGTGTTCGTTATCTGACTTGCGTTTAGTGCTTGAAAAGCGTACCTCTCCGAAGCTCGACAAGCCTGGCTCGAACCGCACAGCTTTCCGGTCTAGAAAGCTCCAGCTCAGCGATGTCAATTGGTAGTAGTCCTCTGTTTTACAGTTGAACTTGTTCAGCTGTACATTGCTCCATAAGATTGAGAGTGCACCCTCATCGGTCATGTCTGAGCCGGTTGAGTGCGCTACTGCGCGTCAGCTTCGTTACTGCCAGCGAACTTTTGACGAGTGGCCCATCAAGCATCACTACATTGTGTGATTTTGACCTTGGACATCTCGAAGTGTTGACCTGCCTCCGTATGTACGCGGCTTACACTACTGGAAACATTCCATGCTCATGCTGCTCGGCTGTCGAGAGGACTTTGTGAGGAGCATGATATGGCCTTCGTATGGTATGGTTGATGTCACGGAATGGATTCCGGCGGGGTTAGTTGTGGTCGTTGTCAGGCTACTAGACTCTTCGGTCTTGTCTTCTGGGTCGAATCGCCACAACTCGAATGGCAATGGCTTTGAAGTGCCAGTCTTCTGAGTCCGTGAAACTGGAAGCAAGATATGGGTGCCGCTGCTTAGCAGGCGCGAACAAGGAGAGGTCATCATGCTTGAGCCCGGGTCACCGTCTTTAGCTGAAGCATCAATCCACTTTGCGTGTCTTGAACGCTAGATTGCAATAGTCCAACGAAGTATTGATTTATCCGAACTCAACTTGTCTAACCGCGTAGAGATAGATCAGTGACACATGATAAGCGGCTATGGTAACTCCACAGAAGGCTCTATTTTCTATCGCTCCTCTTGCTGAATGGCCAGAACATAAAGTACACTAAGATACATGATGGAGTAGGGTAATCAGGAGAATGAATCAGATGCAGACCAAAATGGCGATGATAAAAAGAACACCCAGACGGATAAAAAGGAAAGAGATCGGCCATTCGTTAGGAGATAGTGCAGGAAAGAGAGCGATGAAGGTATAGTAGTACACGGCCTGAATCCCACACTTCCCACCCTTTCTGGACCGTTCAACAGATACGAGGGAAATTTTTGTTCCGCTCGTCACATGTATTAATCTATCAAAATGGGACTGCTCATTTCTCCGTCTGCTGGGCCTTGGTGACAGTGTCGTTCTTGCCTTCGGTATCGTGCCAGGCCTTGGGAATGAGGTCTTCGCTCTCAGCCTGCTCGGCCTTCTCGGCAACCTCCGACTTCACCTGGGCGTGAACGTCTTTTGCGCGAGCCCGCTTTTCTTCAGAGTCAGAGGAGGCATCGATCTCAGCGGCGGGGGAAGCGGGCTGCTCGCTGGGTTCTGAGACGCCAGCTGCGGTGGCAGCTGCGGCGTCGGCCTCGTCGTCATCTTCGAGCTCGGCACCGTAGACGTCGGGGTACCTCCGAAAGCACTCTTGCATGCCCCTGTCACGTAAAAAGTATTGGTTAGCACATGACTGCATCCCGAGCGATATTTCAGAAAGGTCAGGGTTGAACGAACTTGAACTTGTCAATGCAGTCCATGCCCTTGGGTTCTTCCGTGGAGTACACAAAGCAGCTGAACGCAGCCTTGAACTCCTCGCCACAAGGGCCATGGGCCATGCCGCCCAGGCATGGGCAGTCCCAGTTGATCTCGCCAGTCTCGGGGTTGAAGGCGGCTTCCTGGCCGGCTTCGTCTTCAAGTTCTTGGGGCGACTTCAGAGCGGCTTCTGAGGCGGGTAGGGCCTCGTGCTGTGTGGGCTGCGCATCCGGTTGCGAGACGGCCTTCAATTCTGCTTGTCTTTCTTCGCGGATTCTGGGCTTAATGGAGTCGATGGTTGGGAGCTTGGTTTCATCGGAAGAATCCGGTGTGCTCTGCTTGGAGAGGAGGGATACTGTATCATTGACCAAGTTCAATTAGTATAAATTCATCTTTTACATGTAAAGCAGCTTGCTATTATCCGAATCTTGCTCGTTCAGACGTATGGTTCCAATTGTGTAGGAAGGGAAAAAAACCATGACCGAATCAAAGGTGACGGCCAAAACCGGGATTTCGCACATACATGACGGCTGTTCGGCAAAGACACTGCTCGTGTTATAGTAGTATACAGCTCCAGCGGCCAACCCCAGACGGACAATGGTACTCTTCCAACTCCTCGACTTGGCGTCTGGAGGAGCGGTGCTTATCAATCGTCTGCTTGCAGGGCCACGGACTGCGACACCCGGCGCGCGGAGAACTCTGGTCGCGGGACGGAACATGATGTGGAAGGGATGTGAGAAAAGGAGGCGGAAATATAAAGAGTAAATAGGAAGCCGGCTATGCAGACATTCAATCGGTATGCGAAATCTAATTGAGGGGGATATGGCCCGCCAAACCGGTGCGAAGCGGAGAGAGAAAGAGGATGTGAACGAATTGGTGATGTCCTGCCGGCCTGAGGCTCATGAATTCCCCCTTTGAGAGTAAGGTGGGTGGTCACGTTACCATCTGGCCAATCAGATGACGTCCATATCCTCTTCCATCGTCTTCTGTTTTACAAGTGCTTACCATTATAAGAGCTGCGCTGATTAATTCGGTCTTCAAAATCATGGCCTTGAAGACTGGCGTCATACTTATGAGGCTGTTATGTAGATTAAATCTTTGGGCTAAATGAGAGATGTTTACCCCTCTAGTGCTACTGAAAGTCGGGATGCCATAACGATGTATATATATATGACGTGAATGAGAACATCAAGATTGAAGATTAACATGACAATCTCGTGCAGTAGTAGATGAGAACAGAAACCATCAAGGTCAAGGCTTCATCGCTAGATTTCCTCGAATGAACGGCAATTCTATTTGCCAGATCAACCATCACCCAGTCCCTTCTGAAATCTACTACATCCAGGTCAAGCCCCTCCATACAGATTTTCAGTAGAGGTACGAAGTAGACTTTTCCAACTGCGGTAGAGCATCGTTCTTCAACACTATCGCTCCCCAACTTCAAAGACAATTCAGCACTTATAAGTGTCAAGTTGGGAAAGCGATAGCCTGTCTAGCCAGAGATACTGAAACACTGAGATACTTATGAATGCCAGTGCGTGACATCACTGCAGTAAGAACATCATCGTATCGCGCTTTCAGCCCGCCCACCAGTGCAACCAGACACAGATTGAGCTCAATTCCTCTCAGGCCGACCAAAAAATCCTGGAAATACAACCCATCAAGCGATAATGTCAACGGAGTGGGACCCAACTCAATTCTTCTGCGACTCCAGCCAACCTATTGCTCCATTTGCGCTGCTCGTCCTCAACCAGCCAATCAACGAAAGAGCTTTTGCAGTCCTGAAGAAACATGGTATGTGCCCGCATAGTGCAACTCCTCCATACAATATCCTGCAATACTCAGAGCCGAACTAGCTAACCCGTTCCAAGCATGCTTCACCATCTGCGCCGACGGCGGCGCAAACCGCTTCTACGACATGATGCACAAGCAGGGGAGGGAATCCCAAGAGGTAAATTAACACTGCTCTGCTCTACACAAGACAGCATCCAGCATCACCCAGAACTAACAAACAGGGACCCAGCTACCGAATCTCATAATCGGCGATCTGGACTCCATCCGCCCCTCCGTGCGCTCGCACTATGAGGGGCTAGGCGTCTCCGTCATTGAGGATCCGGACCAATACTCGACGGATTTCACCAAGTGTCTCAAGTACCTCCGCGCGCACGCAGCTGAGATCATCACCAAGCGCGAGATTTCAACGCAGTCGCCGTCTGCGCGGCTGGAGATTCTCATCATGGGCGGCCTGGGCGGGAGGGTTGACCAGGCGTTCTCGCAGATCCATCATCTGTATATGATGACGCGGGAAGTAGCTGGTGAGCCGGCGGCGGGGGATCTGTACCTGATCTCCGAGGAGAGTATCACGTTTATTCTACAGTCAGGAAGGCACACTATTCGCACGCCGAGAACGAAAAGGCCAGGTGTGTGTCCTGAGCACGGCGAGGATGAATATTATCTGCTGGAGGAGAATGTCGGGATAATTCCTCTATCTGGACCGGCGAGGATCACGACACGCGGATTCGAGTGGGATGTGGAGGACTGGTTGACTGAGATTGGAGGCCAACTTAGTACCAGTAATCATATTCGAGCCGATGAGGTGACTGTGGAGACGGGGGTCCCTGTTCTAGTTACGCTGGAGCTGGCGCAAAGATTTAAGAGGATGCGGTGATAGAGTCTCAGTTCCGAAGTTGCTTTGTTTTCTTTTTTTCTGTCTGTTCAAATAGACTCACGCTGGGACGGTGGTTGACACATGTATATACACCCAAGATAAAGTATATAGAAGTCTGATCCGAAGACGTCGCTTATCCCGGATCTATAGACAAGAGCCGCGAGATTTCCATACGTCTGGAAGCCCGTAAAATAATATATGAATCAATTGATTCCGTGAACACCAAAACCAACCAAGTGGATCGAATATACTGAGTATAGTGACAAGAAAACGACAATCCACAGATACAACCAAGGCGCCTCCCTCTGAGCGAGTACAAAAAGAACCAAAAACTGTAGCAAGCAAGACCCAGACAGACATCACGCCTTATTAAACCCCGAGAAGAAGATATCAAAGAAATGAGCTTCAACTCATCCTGACACCTGAGTGAGCGAGAAGTCTCCTTGTTCAACTGTCTGACCCTCTTCGCCCTTCCACGCTTTCTCTTACCGCTGATTTGCTTATTATATTGCTTCGCATGAGCCCGACAAATTTGCGTCAACCGCGCAAGAACGCATCATCCAACGCAACCCAGAGCGGACCCCGCCGCAAGACAATGACAAGCACACATTGAAGCACATATATATCTATATCTACTTGCGCAGAATAGCCTCGTAGAGAGTGCCAACAGTCCCAATTGCAGCAGTGGTAAGCATGCCTGGCCAGTGGAAGGGGACCGATACATTCACCCTCTCGATGGAGAAGTTGCTGTATAGACCCATGAAGTTGAAATGATGCGCATAAACCACGTACGCGATGACGGCTTTGGTGATATTGAAACTGAGCGGATCGAACTCAGGACGAGTCTTGTGGCCCTTGCGCGTCTCAGGCACAGGACTGCCGCTTGCCTGCAAGCTGATGTTGAAAAAGTAAGCAAAGAGCAAGGGTAGGAGGTAGCTCGTAAGCAGCCACAGGGAGAACGGGGCCCAAAAGGCCCCATCCACAAGCATGAAGAGATCGGGTACCCTAAGCGCGAACTCAGGGCTATTAATCGCCGGCACAGCAGGGATAGTGGTCAGATAACGGATGGGGATGAGGTCTTTCATAAGAAAAGCGCCTTCAACGGCCATCACGATGGTCTCCACAGCTCTTACGCTGCTCATTTTCGAGCGCACCCAGTTGGAAGATTCCTGTACGCCAGAACGGCCCCACGCGTCGTTGATGCGCTCGCGCCATTCGGCGGTCTGCCGATCAATCACATCTGTGACCAAAGCAGGCGATAGTGGAGGCTCGGCAGTGATTTGCGAGCGCGCAGGAGTCTTTGTTACAACACTGGTAGCCTGGTTCGGTGTCGAGGCCTCCGATGCCTCCGAGTCGTCCCTACGTGACAAAGTCAATAAAACTGTCGCTAAAGGTGCACGCGCATATCCAAGCTATCGCGAAAGCCGGCCACGCGACAACGCGACAGACAAGGAGCTAGAAAGAACACAAGACGGTAGAGACCTACGTCACTTCAACCTCATCCTTCTTTGGCTGTGTTTGCCTGCGACGCGTTGTTCCAGGCGTGGCTTTCCGTACGGCAGGCGCAGCTTTCTTCGGGGCAGGCGTGACGTCGACCCCGACAGCCTTCTTGACCGGAGAAGTGCGCGCGGGCGATGTCGAAGACGCGCGCGTCCAGTATTCCTTCAACTCGGGGACATTGATCAGGATAGTTTGGTTGTCTTGAAGGTACTTGTGGAGCGCGACGGCCAGCGCGTCCTTGTTGCTGTAATCCGCATAGCTGCGCACAGATTAGAAGCGCCCTATTTCATTATTCTGTCATTCCGGGAGCATACTCTTCAAGTCCAGCAGCATGCGCGAGGTCGTTGACCTCGGCTCTGCGTAGCTTCTTCAGCCAATTCAATCCGTTTGACATGGTGATACGCGCGGGTAGACGGGTAGACCAAGAGTGTGGGGACCATGCGACGGGCACAGAACACAGAGTAAGGGATGGGTTGTTTATATATACTGGAAGCGCTTATCGAGACCGATACCGAGTGCACAGAGCAAACAAGGTAAACAGAAGTGAAACTAGGGGAAATCGAGGGATCCAATTCAATAAATAACCAAGGTAGACGGGGATGGAGAGAGACAGAGATGGTTGCATCACCGCCGGAGACAACAGAAGGCTTGACTGCCTGAGGGGGCGACTCGTGGGGCTGGAGCGCTTTGTTTACATTTGGCCGGTTGTTGTGGTCGCCCCATCGCCGTTGCTTCGCGCGGTTCGGCAAGCCTCGCCGTCATTGGCCCGGGAGCGATCAACATTGAATCCTCTTCTTACGTTTCTTTGTCCTTTTCTTCTCGTCCACCTATTTTCGAGAACATGGTTCATTCATTCTATTTCTGTTGGGGTTCTTTATCTTGTTTCGATACCCAAAGAGAAAGAGAGATTGATCTATGGTACACATCGCATAATTAGGCATCGTCTAAGAGTCTATGCGGGAGAGGAAAGAAACAAACAAAATGCCGTACCAAGACCTCTCCAGAAATGGTACATATACATATCAACAATGACAGCGATGATTTGTGTCATCTTGTCATGATGCGCAATAGCGGAGAGGTTGGTCCGATGCAGAAGGGAGAGAAGATGAACATGCCACAACCCCGCCAGAACGCCCTGCAAAACATAGCCTGCCAAGGCACACAAGCATGTTCCGAGTGAGATGCGAATATATCTACAAGGAGGGTCCCCATTCTATTTGGTTGAAGATAAGGGGCTCGACTAAAGAGGACCCGTCTCCCCAGTAGTTTGCCATGCCTCGAGCTGCTTCAGCAGATACTGGTACATGACCAGCATGGTTCCGCTTTGTATGCTGGTCCAAACGCCACGTGGGCCAACCCCGCGAAACCACCCAGAAAATCCTTCAGTCTGGTAGATCATCTTCAAGCCAGTGAAGAATGACGAGGTGTCCAGGCGAGGCGTTCCAGGGGGCCGTACCGAAGTAGAAGCTCCTCCGGTTGAGATCGGCCGGGAGTGAGTCCGGAGGCTCGAAGTGGTTTGGCTTGAAGTATGCTGCCGAGGAGTCTCCTTGG